TCATTTTCTGCCCTGCATTTGTCAGTTTCAGAGAAATGTTTTTATTTTTATTTATTTATTGTCGGTTAAATCATCTAACTTTGATCTTTAAGGCGTAAAAAGCTCCTAAACTCGAGAAAAAAACAGTTTTTGTGTCTCCAACTAGTTTTGAATGAGCTCTTTAAACACTTGTAATTTCAGCAGTTTTTTGCTCCTTTTTGCTTATTTCTGCAAGTTTCAGCTTTTCCTGATATTTCAACTAGTATTTAGCTGTTTTTATGATAATTTTAGCTTTTTTGGCTAATTCAGCAAAAATGTGCTTGCTCCAGTTTCGTTGTGTAATTTAATCTTCTTTCTGCTTTTTAGCTACTTTTCAGCTGTTCTTTTGCTAATTTCAGCTTTTTTCAGATAATTAAAAATGTTTATGCTTGTTTCTGCTTCTTTCAACCTAACTGGACAAATGTGTTCTTTCTGCTTTATTATGCTAATTTCAGCTTGTTCTACCTTTTCAACTAGCTTTTTAGCTCATTTGATCTGTTTTCAGATAAATTCAAGTTTTTCGTGGTAGTTTCTGCTATATCAGCCAATAAAATTCTTTATACTAATTTATTTCTTCTTTCTGCTAATGTCGTCTTATTTATGAAATTTTCAGCTTTTTCTGCTATTTCAGCTACTATTTTAGCTGTTTTTAATGATCATTTTAGCCTCTTCAGCTAATTCCAATTTTTTAGCTCATTTCAGCTCTTTCCGCCTCCTTTTTTCTGCCTTTTCAGCTACTTTTCAACATTTTTTGTTGCAAATTTCATTTCTTTTTAAATAATTTCCTATTTTTTGTGCTCATTTCTATTTATTTAGACCTAATTCGGCAAAAAACATGTCTTTCTGCTTTCTTTTGCTAATTCAGGCTTGTTCTTCCATTTCAGCAACAATTCAGTTTTTTTTAAGCAAATTTCAGTTGTTTTTCAGCAAGTTCTTCAGCATTAAGCATTCACACTGCATTTTAGCAGGAAATGCAAATTCTCTAGATTAGAAATGACTTTAAAATACTTTTCGTCTGATTAAAATGAGTTTTCCTTTTAAATCTGGTGCTTCATCTTTTGTCCTCCACTTGTTCATTTTATTTAAACAAAAACAACAATAGGCTGTCGTGACCGAAGAAAAGCACAGAACAGAAAATAAGTGAACAAACAGCCAAAGAAAACCAGAGACGGCTCTCAGAAGGCCTCAAGAACTGATCAAGACCACCTTTAACCTCCTAGGACCGGGCCATCCACATATGCAAGAGTTCAGGTTTTAGGAGGTTAAAGATTACAAGAAACTTTTGTGAATGGTTTTCTCTAAACAGCTAAAAGTTCAGGTAAAAATAAAAACTTTAGCTCCTCTAAACCCACCTGATCTCCAGCAGCTGAGTCGCCAACTCATTAAGCTAATGCATGTTTTTAATCCATCTGAAATTCCTGGTAAATAATCTGCGTCGGTGTTTAAAAAAAAAAAAACGAACCAAAAGAAGCAGTCGCTGTCAGACACTGAGGCCTCACAGCTGCAACTTTAGCTGATTTCTCTCAACTTTCTGAAAGAAAAGTTTTATTCAGCTGAAACAACAACCGGAGTCTTCATTTCTAAACATGCCTGTGTGTGAGGACAACGTGCGTTAGAGACTGTAATGTTGCATCTCCCTGTTGCCATGGAGATGATACTGGATCTGCTATGATTGTCTCTCCTGCTGACAATGTTTGAGTTGTTTTTGTTCAGCGTCAGTCAAACGCTTGTTTTTTACTCAAATATATGTTTTTTAATTTCCTCGCTCAATCTGATCTGAGCTGGAGCAGGACCACAGGTGGAGCTAACAGGAAGTTCAGCTCCGTCTTCATACAGTAACATGGGTTTATGTGTGTGGGCGGAGTCACAGAGATTACCAGTCGGATTGGGATTAACATTGTACTGTCCACACACACACACACATACATGCATATGTGCTGAGACAATTCAGGACGAACTGGGTGACTTATTTTTTTTAAGCATTATCAGCCCCGCCCCCACCTTTACACACACGCACACACACACACACACACACACACACACACACACACACACACACACACACACACACCCACACACACACACTACACAAAAAGGCTTAAAGCTCTGAAAACCCACCCGTGTGAGTGTCAGACCACAGACATTAGAGCAGCAGCCCCCCGTCCTGCTCGGGCACCGTTTGGACCTGGAAGCAGAACCTCTGTGATTCTGAAGAAGGGATGAGATCTTAGTGGACCCCCCCACCCAGCCCAGCTGAGATGGAAGGGGAGCAGCGAGGTTACCCACAGAGGAGTGAAAGAATCTGCTCTCGAGAGGAGAAGAAGAGGAGGAAGACGTCCGGTCACTCCAGCAGCTCACATGGTACCAGCTCTGACCCGCTTGGTTCTGCCAGCAGAACCAAACAAATGATGCCAGAGGTTTAATGTTCTTGTGTCCACGCTGCTGTCTGATGAACGTGGAGGATCTGCTGAGTCCAGCTGGGCCCTGACCTCATTGTGTAGATTTATTCTAACAACCGGTGGATTTTAGAGGTTTATCTTTGGTTATAGGTCGTGTTGAGTAAAGAACGGTGAATATTTGTGTGTTGTTCTTTTGGCGTCTTTGTTCGATGCTCGAGTTCGTCTGTTTTGTGTCCCAGCAGCTCGTCGCTGTCATTATGTAATATTGTGGAGAGGCAGGATAATCTGTCCGCTGCCTCTCCCCTCCTGAACAGTTTAATCTCCAAGCTGTCTGTGCTTTCGTCCTACAAGCCTTTTTGTTTACTTTCTGAACTTCCTCCTCCTCCAGACGACCGCAGCTCGGCGAACAGCGGCCTGGATGTGGCCGACCGGCTCACCTACCTGGAGCAGAGGATGCAGATGCAGGAGGATGAAATCCAGCTGCTGAAGATGACTCTGGCCAACGTCCTCCAAAGGCTCAACATCTCCAAGGAGAACCAGGTGGCTGCTGCAGGAGGCAGGAAAACGCCGGGAGCAAAAGGTGAGCAAAGATCTGACTTCAGCTGGTTTATGTGTGATTTCAGGTATTTAACACGTGTTTCGTCTTAATTTGAAAGAACTGCTTCTGTTTTGATTTGAAACCATTTTATTGTGTCAATGTTTATGAAGCACTCACTCTATTGTGATCCATTTTACTTCTGTACATTTTTCAGCATCTTTCTCGTTCCACAATTTTCGCACTGTTTCAACACATCATATCAAAACTTTCAGCTCGTTCAGGACAATCCTGCTATGACTTTTGGTATTGGTGCAAATTTAGCTTTTTAGCCTTTTTTTTTTTTTTTTTAGCCTTTTTTAGCCTTTTCTGCCTTTTTTTTTCCTCATAGAAAATGAATTGAGCTCATTTTTTTTCATCCTTCCTATCTTTAGATGTGTTCACAACATTTTGCTGCTCCTTTCACATTTTGTTCTGCTTCAGCTTCTTTCAGCTTCCTTGTGGAAAAAAAAATTCAGCTACTTTCAGTTGTTTTTTTAGTTGTTTTGTGTTCCTTTCAGATTCTTTCTGCTAACTACAACATTTTTGTGCTTCTAACTTCTCTCTGCTAATTTCAGCTTGTTATGCTCCTTTCAGCTTATTTCTGCAAATGTCAGCTTTTTCTGACAATTCAGCTACTATTTAGCTGTTTTTATGCTGATAGCTTTTTCATCAAATTCCACATTTTTTGCACTCATGTAAACTTTTTTCAGTCTAATTCAGCAAAAATGTGCTCTCTCCACTTCCTTCTGGTACTTTAAGCTTATTTATGCGTTTTAAGCTACTTTTCAGCAGTTTTTTGTTGTTGTTGCTAATTTCAGCTTTTTTCAGATGATTTCCATTTTTCTAATTCAAATTCAAATTCAAAAATAATTTATTAATCCCAAAGGGAAAAGATTTGTTGTTGTAACTCGTTATTATCATTTCATTAAGAGATGATGTTTTGTGCTCATTTCTGCTTCTTTCAGCATAATTGGACAAACGTGTTCTTTCTGCTTTCTTCTGCTAATTAAAGTTCTACATTTTCAGCTACTTTTTTAGCATTTCTTTGCTAATTTCAGCTGTTTTCAGATAAATTCAAGATTTTCATGTGAATTTCTGCTATTTTCAATTAACTTTGTTATGCTAATTTCAGCTTTGTATGCTCCTTTCAGCTTTTTTCCTGCTATTTCAGCTAGTATTTAGTTGTTTTTATGCTAATATTAGCTTTTCAGCTTATTCCACATTTTTAGCTCATTTCAGCTCTTTCCGCTTCTTTATAGTAGTTTAAGCTTTGTTCTGTATTTTAAGCTACTTTTCAGCTGTTTTTTGTTGCTAATTTCAGCCTTTTTTTTTTTTAGCAAATTTCCAAATAGTTGTGCTCATGTCTGCTTATTTAAACCTAGTTCAGTAAATATGTGTTGTTTTTTTGCTTTCTTCTGCTAATTTTTATTTGAGCTAATTTTAGCTGTTTTTCAGCAAGTTCTTCAGCAATAAGCATTCACATTGCATGTTTTGCAGGAATTGCAATTTCTCTAGGTTTCCTTATTTTTAATTTTCCTGCAAGACTTCAGTCGTCCTGGGTTGTTGTTTTAGCTCTGGTTTCCTCCATAAATGCCAAATCTGTTCGAAGGTCAGAGGTCAAGACTGCTGCTCAAACTTTGCTAGAAATGTGCCAAACTATCAGCCAAGAGTGTGCACAAAGATTTGTTTTCAGATATAAAAGACTCAAACTTTGCCTTTTAATTTAGGAGAAAATGGAACAATTAAGGACCATGTTAGTCATTTTAAACGCCTAATTTTAATATATATATATTTATAAAATCTGCAATAAATCAATTGATTTAGAAACAAATTAACTCCTGTTTAATTAACTTTCTACTTCCTTATATTGATTTGAGTCTGTTACTTAATAATAGTAGCTACTTCTTAAATACATATAATATATAATATAAAGTATTTATATGAAATGATGGTAAATAAAACACAGTATCACACTGTATTCAGTTTGAACTCGGCTACAAAGCAGGCGTTATGGAAGGTGGGGTAGATGAGCAGCCCGACAGAAGTCATGGACACTTAAAGTGCAGTGATTTCTGCAGGGAGGAGAAAAGACTTGGTTGTTGACAGCGCCGGTTCATGACAAAGATAAAAATCCACTGAAGGTTTTAAAATTACCCTCACCGCTATGTTCGGTACGACAGTTAAGCTGAATGAAGAACTTACACCAGAAAATAAAGCAAACAAATGTTTTAAAACGTTTCTTGGTGGAGAAGTTCAAGTATCTGAGCGTTTTGTTTCTGAGTGATGGAGTGGGCGATGGATCGATTGGTCGGGCCTCGCCCTCAGTAATGAGGGCGTTGCGTCGGTCGGTCGCGGTGAAGCAAGAGCTGAGTCGAAAGGCAGAGCTCCTGATTTACTGGTCTAAGTTCCTCATCTGAGGGTTTGAATCTTGACCCAACCAACAAGATCCTGAATACAAGCAGCTGAAATGAGTTTCCTTCGTAGGGTGATCAGGGTCACCTTAGAGACCGGGGGAAGAGTTTCGTCATCTGGGGGGAGCTCGGAGTAGAGGTGCTGCTCCTTCACATTGAAAGGAGTCAACCATAGAGGTTTTCTCACTGGGAAGAGGAACTTGCTGGAGGGATTGTGTATCTTCTCTGGCCTGGGAAAGCAGAAAGTGTCGCTGGGGAGAGGGTCTGGGTTTCTCTCCTGGGCCTGTTCCCTCCGTGACACGAACTCCGATAAGTGGTAGAAGACAGAAGTGGAGATGGAGACTGTTGTTTGATTTCTAACACGTGAAAAGTAAAAAAAACACTACCGTACTTAACTTTACATATACAGTTGAGTCTTAATGGTGCTTCTCCTTTAGATCAACAAATGAACTTTGAAGTAAATTCTCACATTTGAGAGGCTAAATCAAAACAAAGGTCACCTGACTTCATCATCTTCTTCATATTGTGTGTGTGTGTGTTCCCGCAGCCCGGCCCGTGTCTCTGGCTCTGCCCTCCAGACCTCCCATCGTGACCTCCAGTGTTGCTTCTCTGAAGAAGAGCTCCACGCTGCCCTCGGGCTCCACCACCAGGAACTACAGCCCGACGCCATCGCGGAGGTGCGTCGCTCAGTGCGCAGGCAGACAGCTGGAACAGAAAATATTAACGAGGGAATGTGTTAATTAGCTTCTCGTCTCATTATTCCACAAACTAACACCTTTAACACTTCCTTTAAACTCAAAGCAGTCACCTCGTCCTCTTCAGTACATTTCAAGTGATATTATTAGAGCGTGATAATCTCTCCATGACTCCTTATTGTGCTGTTGTTGTAGCTGTAACTTTAGGCTGACATGATGACGTAAGATGGACAACTAGCAGAACAGGTTTTCTCTCTGTCTTCTCTTTTCTCCTCCTGTCCTCTGTATTCTTTATTTTTCCATCATTTCATGTCGTTATTTTCCTTTTAGTCTTTCTGTATGTTTGTTTTTCTTGTTTTCAGCGGTGCGAGGAGCCCTTCAGGCGGTGCTAAAGACGGCACTAGAACACGACTCAACTCTGCAGCCTCGACCTGTAAGAAGATTCCAGAAAGGTAAGGAGGTGACTCCTCCTACGTTACAAACGACAACAACAAAACAAGTTTGATGTTAAAAATCATCCTCCAATCTTTTTTAAATCAAATCACATCTAAATTCAAATAAAATTATTTAGCTTTAAAGTAATTCTCCAATAAAATTGTTTGAACTACTCAGAAAAACAAGACCTGCTGTACCATTTGCAGGTCCTTAGGTAAATTGAAACGTGTCGCGGCAACTACCGTACTTTCCACCATACATGTCGTACTGCTGTATAAGTCGCATCAGTCCAAAAATGCCTAATAAAGTGGAAGACCCCCCCCCCCCCCCCCCAAATAAGTCGCTTCGTCGTATAAGTTGCGGAAACGTGGGCCGGTGTTGTGCCAAAAATCGGTTGGCTGCCAAAATGGTGGCCGCGGGAGCATGCACAGGAGGACTTTAACAAGAATTTAACAAGGTTAACACTTAAAAACAATTACTTGTTTGCTCGAAATTATAGTAAAGGTGTGTCTCAGTTAAACTTTTCCTTAATAAATAAATGACGATCAAATCAGCTGCATTTCACCTGGGCAGTGCGTCGAAACGCAGCTGATTTAACGTTTGCTTCAGGAGTTCCGGAGTGAGACAAAGATGGCTTGGTATGGCAAGCCAAGTGTCTCATTATTAACCACTTTTACCTATTAATGAGACACTTGGCTTGCCATATTAGTCGAGAGCCCTCTAGTGGCTGAACATGGCAGTGTTGAATATTTTCCGTGTCAGAATGAATGAAATCGTCAGATCTCAGCCAAAAATTGAGTTATAAATATGGAGAAAAAAAACGTATGTTAGTCACTTCGGTGTACAAGTCATGGGACTTGCAAATTTATGCAAAAATGTGTAACTTGTACGGTGAAAAATATGGCATATGTGCAGGAAGTAGAGGTGCTGCTGGGGCTACAGCACCCTCTGTGTTTGCAGAAACATAATGCAAAATAACTCAAAGGTAACTAAATAAATAGCAGCAAAAACCACCAACAAAAAAAAAACAATATTTCTTTCACAACCTTGTTAGCTGTAGCACAGTATACAAATGACAAATAACAGGAACTGAATCTCTTGTTATTGTTCCTGTTTAACTACAAGTTAGCATTTGCGCTGCAGCACAGCTAGCTGGCACAGAAAGCGTACACTCCATTTTTATTTGGATGTCAGACCTTTCTAATTTTCTATTCCAGAAAATCAACTGAAACCACTTCAAAATATGGGATTCCTGCTCCAACCTCTAAATCCAACATGATGTGTGCATGAAAAGTTGTGATAGCTGCAATAAGAACTTTTTTCCCCCATTGGTTTGTAGCTCATTAAATCAGTTACACACACATTCCTGTACTAGATCTAACATGAAACATGTTTCTGTGTTCTCTTAGTGCATAAAATACAGAGAAATACATTGTAACAAGCTTGCATAGCTAACAACTGTTAGCCTGCACAACTAGCTTTTTGAGTTGCAGCTGGAGCAGGATAAAGAATGTGACGTCATTCCCGACTTCTGAAGTCAATGAAAGAGTGCAGGCTGTGTGTTACTGATTTAAAAAGACAGGCTGACAGAAGTTAAAAATTGTTCATAAATGCAGCTAGAAACACTTTTTGTGTGTGGTAGCCCTATTGGATTTAGAGGCTATACATGGTTTGTGAGAAACCTCAGATATTTAGTTGAATTCTGTTTTTTGGAGGCCAATCAAGCAGCTCTCAGCCACTTGCAAGCGCTCTTGGCCACGCCCACTTCTCCACTCTGCATGGAGAACAGCTGATCAGCTGCAGGAGGAAACTTTTTCTGCAGCTGTGGGCTGCACAGAGGTGCAGCAGTTGCTAAATAATTTTAAATAATTTATTTTAAATAAAAAATTAATGCCGATCGTGCGGCTCATCCATCAATCAGCCAATTGTGTGTCATGTCCAATCTTTTTTGAAAAACTGCGGTAGAGCGAGTCCGTGAAAAACAAACCACGAGGTAGAGAGGGACAATGTTTGTTTTTGTTTTAACCCGTTTGTGGTATTTGTTTGGACAGATAATTACTGTGGATGTTGCAGGTTGTAGGGAGATCCAGAAATGGAGACCAACACAAGAAGATTTAGAAAACTAAAAGATCTAATGATCACCAGACAGTACAAATCAAAAAGCTGGCACTGGAGCAAAAAATTAAAAAAACTGAAGCACAGACTGCAGGGGACAGAGGACGGAGATAATAAATGGACTGGGTTTGACGAGACAAGAGGGAACAGGTGAGACCAATTATATGAAGAACAGGTGTGGGTGGGCGGGGCTGACCGAGGAGCAGGTGTGAATGGTGACCCAAAGATATAATGGGAAATACAAGAGTTCTCCAAAATAAAAATAAAAAACCCACACACAGAGTAAATAATGGCAAAAACAAACTTTAAAAAATCTTCACAAAAACAACCGTAAACCACAGATCCTGATATTAAAATGCGTTTTTTTAGCATTGGGTGTTGCTTTAAAACTGATTTTCTGTCGCCATGATGAAATAACTCCATCCTGCCGTTCTGTAGAAGAATTTTGTGTCAATATTCAACATTTAGAAGAGAAAAGCTGAACATCCCTCCAAGCTTCTGATTCTCTGTCGTTTCTTCTTGTTGCTGCTTCATCTTGGCTCCAAACGCAGCAAGGAGGCTGCAGGAGGTGCAGGTGAGATAACCACACCGTGCGTGTTTGTGGTTTCTTTATATAACTGGCTGCATTAGATGCAAAGTGACAGGGCTGCTGAACACATAGAAAGTTTAACTGAATTGCTGCTGTGATCTTATTTAGCTTGTCTGAGTGAAATGTGTGTGTGTGCAGGGACAAGGCGTGTGACGCACTGCAAAGGTAGGCTTCACCCCTGACAGTAAAAGAAATATATTCTAATATTTAGTTGACAGAATTTGTGCATGAGACCATTTTTTAAATTTTATTTTTCACATCTCACATTACTCGTGTGTTCCCTGCCTCTTTTCTAACCCCATCCCTCCTTAATCGTCCACACTTTGTACCGTTCCACCTGTCTGACATCCTCCTTCACCACTTCACCGCTTCACTTAGTGACTATGCAGATCTATCTGAGCCCCCTTGCAAGAAAGACTGGGTCCTCTGAGGCTGTCGGGTCTGCGGTGCCCACCGACAGGGGCCCCACGGATGCTCCCAATCTTAAGAAGCGGGGCAACAAGCCGGCGATGAAGAAACCCCCGCCGTCCTTCAACTTGAACTTCCAGAAATCCACAACCAGCACGAGCACCCAGCAGGACACGCCCAGCTACAGAAGCCCCATCAAGTCTCCCAGCCAGTACTTTCAGATATGTTACTGACAAACACAAGAAACGTTACACAAAGCTAATCTTGTACGACCAGAAGCATCTTAAAGTCTGAAGTCTGCCTGCAACTGAGACTGCTGATGTAAAAGAAAGTGTTCAAGCTCTGGAAACTTGTTTTTTTTGCTTAGTCTGGGAGTAGTGGAAAATTTTAGTCATCGTTTAGCTTCTTGAGAACAGTTTTTGTTGTTGTCGCTCTCTGAAACCTGCATGACGTCTTTCTGCTCCGTCGCTCAGCACCAAGTCTGTGAGCTCAGAGGGAAACAGCCTAATCTGCCTCCACGTCTGTTTACTTCCATGTCTTTTGTGTGTTTGACCAGAGCTTCCACCTCATCAGAAAACAACAATAAAAAACCTACAACCACAAATGAAATGTCTTTTTCCCCCTGCTGTGTCAATATTGTCACGTCAAGTGGCTGCACTGTTCTTAAACACGGTAAGACGTTAAGTGCAGGCAGTGATGCACTTCTCTGGACACTTTTACACAAACTCACAAAAACTGGTTACATCACTGCTGTGAGCTTGAAAAAAGCTGCTTTAAAGTGAGAGTAAATGTATATTTAATTTAAACGCATGCACACTTAGGTTAATTAGACTGTCAGGATGGCACGGTGGCTCAATTGGTAGGCATGCAACCTCTCAGAGAGAAGGTCACTGGATCAAATCCTGGCCGGGGGCCTTTCTGGGTCCAGTTTCCTCCCACAGACCAAAAACATGCATGTTAGGCTGATTGGTAACTCTAAATTGTCTCTAGGTGAGAGAGAGAGAGAGTAAATGGTTGTTTGTCTCTGTGTCCCTGTGATGGACTGGAGACCTGTCCAGGGTGTCCCCCGCCTCTCACACAGTGACTGCTGGATATGGGCACCAGTGACCCCAGCAACCCAAAAAGGAAGAAGCGAGTAAAGATAATGGAATTACTGTTTTTCTGGGTTGAACTTTTAGCTAGTCTTACAAACTTTAGCATTCAGGTTTTGTTCTGCTAAATTTAGCTTTAAGCTACTGTTTTGGTAGTTTTAGCTTTTAATTACTTTGGATTAAATTTTAGCAAGTATTTAATTAGCATATTTTAGCACTTAGCTATGGTTTTGCTAAGTTTGGCATTTAGCTACCATTTTTGTGGCTTTAGCTTACAACTACAGTTTTGCTGGCTGTAGCTTTTAGCTGCAGTTTTGATCAATTTTGCTCTTAGCTATGGTTTTTAGCAATTTCAGCATTGTCAATTTAAACTTTTAGCTATTGTTTTAGGGGTTTTATTTTTTTATTACAGTTTGGCACGGTGGAGCAGTTGGTAGAGCTGCTGCCTCTCAGCGAGAAGATCGCCAGATCAAATCCCGGCCCAGGGCCTTTCTGGGAGGAGTTTGCATGTTCTCTCTGTGCATGCGTGTGTTTTCTCCAGGTACTCCAGTTTCCTCCCACAGACCATTAAAAACATGCATGTTAGGCTGATTGGTAACTCTAAATTGTCTCTAGGTGTGAGTGAGGGAGTGAATGGTTGTTTGTCTCGTTTGTCTCTTAGCGTCCCTGTGATGGACTGGAGAGTAGACCTGTCCAGGGTGTCCCCTGCCCCTCGCCCAGTGACTGAGTGACTGGGCACCAGTGACCCCTGTGACCCCAAAAAGGAAGAAGCGGGTAAAGAAAATAGATGGAAGAATTACTGTTTTTCTGGGCTTAGCTTTTACAAACTTTAGCATTCAGCTTTTGTTCTGCTAAGTTTAGCTACTGTTTAGGAATAGTTTTAGCTTTTAATTACTTTGGGTTAAAATTTTAGCAAGTAATTAATTAGCATATTTTAGCCTGGCGGGCAGCACGGTGGCGCAACTGGTAGAGCTGCTGCCTCTCAGCGAGCAGGTCCTTGGTTCAAACCCCGGTCCAGGGGCCTTTCTGGGTGGAGTTTGCATGTTCTCTCCGTGCATGCGTGGGTTTTCTCCGGGTGCTCCGGTTTCCTCCCACAAACCAAAAACATGCATGTTAGGCTGATTGGCAACTCTGAATTGTCTCTAGGTGTGAGTGAGAGAGTGAATTTGTCTCCATGTGTCCCTGTGATGGACTGGAGACCTGTTCAGGGTGTCCCCCGACCCTCGCACAGTGATTGCTGGACATGGGCACTGGCGACCCCCGTGACCCAAAATGGAATAAGCGGGTAAAGAAAATGGATGGATGGATGGATAGAGACTGTTATTTCCTGCTGCAAACCGTAAGATGCACTGAACAATTTCCTCTGATTTCGTAACCTCTTGGTCTCTGTCAAACGTCTCAGAATGATTCAGAGTGTGGACAGTAAACCAGATCACATCACTGGCCTCAACTTAAGAAACATCATTTTGAAAATCTTGTCAAGTTTTATCTTCTTACTCATTTTTTAATGCTTAAATGGACAAACTCCCGGCTCAGACAGAGGAAACTGTAAAGTTCCGTTTGTAAGATTTCCTCAGAACAAACCGCTTTTTCAGCACAAGGGATTAAAATGTGGAAATCCCTACCTGCAGGTTTGAAATTGAATTCTGACTCGAATCATTTTAGCTCCAGATCGAAGCACTTTCTGAAGGAGAAGCAGCTCTGTAGTCAAGAATACCCCCACCCACTCCCCCTCCTCACCCAATCTTGTTTTATGTGTTGTCCTAATGATGTAATGTTTTTGTCTCCAAATAAAAACAAATTTCTCAGGATTTCTCACAAATCCTTAACAGGAGCCAGAAAAGTTTCAGCAGTTTTAAAAAAAAGAAGATATTTAAAGCAGATACATTAAATGAGTGTTAAGAGTGATGAAATGAGTAACATCAGCTCACAGTTTCAGCATCCTCCTCCTGTGGAGATAAAAGCAAAGCGATCCAAATTCACCCGAGATTAACATTACACCATCACATCTGTAGGAAATGAAGTGATTGAGTCAAAATTACATTGAGTGTGTTATTTTTAAAGTTGCACTCTTCATCGTCAAAATACCCCAAAAAGCTAACCTTCAGGAAAATTACAGCTAGTGGTGTATGTACAAATAAGCTCAAAATGGACTCAAACATCAGCTTAGAAATTATTATGTTCTATTATTATGTAAAATTACAATAAAATTCTGGACCAAATATGTTTTTTTTTTCAATAACTGTTAAGGTGTCTCTAGTGAAGCTCACTTAAGACAAATCTTAAAGACAAGCAAGGTGTCAGAAATATAAGAAAAAGAAAAGAAAAAGAAAAGCTATGGAGATTAAGCATTTTTTCCCCCTGGGATTAATCTTTAATTGATGAGAATAAAAATAACCCCAGGTTTATTTCAGTATCATAGCTAGTCTAATGAAAAATCCTATCTCTGTTGATTAATCTATCCCTACATCTATAATCAGTGATGAGTTCATGAGATTCTTTATATATCAAATTATTTCAATTAGGGAAAAATTTCAAACCTCCCTTCCTACTATCGCCTCTGGTTCTGTATCAGATGAGACAACTTTAAAAAATGTCACTAGAACCTGATTTATATTTGGACTGTTTTTTGTCTAATGGCACCATGGTACTGTTAGTGGTGTGGTTCAGTTAGTGGTGTGGTCTTGTTGGCAGTGTTAGCAGATCTTATTAGCAGGTTTTTTTAGCAGCTTGATGATATTAAGGACCGCAGCAGCTGCCTCCCAGACTGTCCGCCAGAACCGGGTCTGGCAGACACAGAACATCCAAGGTTTCCCAGAGGAATTGAACAGGTCCGTTGAGTTCAGTCCATGCTGGCAGATGGAGGATCATGGAGACAGCCGCCATGACAGGCCGGAGCCTGAGCCCAAAGCTGGAAGGATTGAACCACGATGGCAAGGCTGCGACACAGAAAACTCCACAAGTGTGTTGCGGTCACACCCGTACCGTGGATGTGCAGTGTAGGCGCAAAAACAAAAAGCAACAGAAATGAAAAAGATCGAGTGGAAGTGGTGCTCCCGTCACTTATACCACTCTGTGGCGCACGTGACATCAGAATAATCTGTTGTAGCTCTTTGAAGGATCTCAATTTGGAAAAATACAGTTTAGGTCTGTCAGGACTGACAAGCTAACAGGCTAATCCAAATGGAAAGGCCAAACTGGATTGCTGTCATTCTCAAAGAACCCTAGGGTCAGACATTTCATATTAATAAAAATATAAAAAATTAATAGTTGCCCTGCTATGAAATTTTCAGAGTGAAGTTGTTTTAACATGTTTAATATTTAATCCACTTTTAATAACCATTTTTACTTTTTGGAGCCAGGTTTTAACACAGGATTATCAGTTGCTGTGTCCCACTTTGCTAGGGAAAAACACAAAATTTCATAGACTCACAAATCACATAGCTGAAAGATGTGGTTTATGGAGAATGCACACATACTAAAAAATATTGTTGCTATTAATGCTGACATTACTAATAATACAATAATACAGAGTTGGCGTTCATTTGCACAAATTTCAGGTATCTGGTTTTATTTAGATGTTTTGCTGTGGAAAGACACTGGTTTAATTAAGAGTTGTGAGCTTATACAGCAAGAAAACTAACAGACTTTAAAAATATCAGTCATTGTAATTGTGAAATTACAGGTCAGATAGGCTTATGTGATACTTTACTGATATGGAATTAATAAATTATGGTTGAAAAGACCTCTAACATATTCATAGATATCTAGGGTCAAACCAAACTAAATTTTATTAGAAAGTAACAGAGCTG